TGCTTTAGTCAAGTCTGGGTAAATCAAATCTGAATGAACAATCTGATGAATCCTACAAATGTTTTTATAGGAATCCACCTTATCTCTTCAGGGTAGGTGACTCTCCCATTTAGAAACCTAAGCAATAAAATGCTAAAATGATCAGATTCTTCGAACCTGAAGAATTTTTTAAAAACCAAGAGATGTTGTTCCATCCCTTATAGTTACCCCCACAAGGGATGTTGGTTCTAATATAGACCTCTTTATCTAACAAATTACGAATATCAAGTATTTTACGACAACTACATACTAACATTATATTAACAACCACACTATTACATAATATTATTACAAAAATGAACACACTCCCTAAAATAATATTTCGACTCATCCATGCATCCATTACGTCCATCTTCACTTAAAAAACTTTCAGGTGTGCTGTATTGAAATTAAGTACCAGCATTATATACCTCATATCTCTACATATCAATTCTTGTCCAATTAAACGAAATAAAATCTAATTCTTCATCAACTCCAACCTTTCCTTTTTTTCTGCTGCAGATATCTGGTGGCAGGTGGCCTGGTGGATCGAGTGTCCCGCCACAGTCGCGCTCTGATCGAGGCTGAGTTTTTCGTGGACCAGGATCACGAATCGCCACTTTTGATATCCTCCTACGATCTTCTGTTCCGCATCTGTTCCCACCTGAAGAAACCTCCGGACCAGGAGTCTGGCAGCGTTCACGAGAACAACAACAGCGTGGAACAGACGATCGTAGAATCACACCTTCTCGCGACGCTGTCCTCAACCGAGGCTGCAGGTGCCATTGGCGCACTTTATGCAGCGGTCGCGCTCACCCCACAGAATCAGAAGGGGTCGTCGCCGACTCCTAACCAGACCACGATGCCCCAGTCCACGAGGGTTCTGATCGTCAAGTGCCTCAGGCTACTCAAGTCCATTGCAGGGCTGAATCTTTTGAGATTACAGGTGAGTTTATTCATTGTCGATAATTATTATTTATTATAATATTCCAAATGTATGTTTGTATACATTTGTTGATGTATATATAAATATATATGGTACATATACAAGCTTATTCATACATATATTTGTCTAAAGAAAAATTCATTTGGCAATATCAAAACTGTTATTCAATTTAGTCAAACTTCTTCAAAAAAACATACAGGTTAGGAATATTTATAGAATTGACCAATGATAGATAATATTCCTAGAAAGTCAAATTACCATTCTAGATCTGACTCCTTATCAAAAACCTAGCATAACAGTTCCTGGATATGTATATATAAATATATACGTACTTATATACTATACAAGCTTATTCATACATATATTTTTACAATGAAAAATTCATTTCCCAATATCAAAATTGTTATATCAAAAATCAATATAAAAAATCACTAACAGTGATTCAGTGTGGCAAAACTGTTACTTAATTCAATCAAACTTCTTCAAATGACATAGAGGTTACGAATATTTATGGGATTGACTAATAATAAATAATATTCTTTGAAAGTCTAATTAACATTCTAAGCCTAACATTCTAAACCTAGCCTAACAGTTTCTGAGGTCCTCGCACAGGACGACACTCAGAGGGGTAGTTTCACCCCCTGTAATTTGAGTTACCACAGCTAAGAAAAAAAATACGTTGTCCCTTATGTTAGACCGCCTGACCTGTGAGGTTGAATAGAAACGGAGGTGGGTCCTTGATGGAGCAACCGTCAGTGGTCCTCCTCATTAGGTCGAGGCCCGTGGAAAGTGCAATGGAGATATCGTGCGCCCAGGGGGTTTGCCTGTCAAGATTGAAAGGCCTCCTGTGAAGTCTGCAATGATCAGACCACGAATTGAATCGAAACCTCGCGCCCCCAACCATAAAAACTATAAGGGCCGTCCTGTGTCCCGCAGGAGGCCGCGCAGGGTCCCGCGGGACGCTGCTCCGATTATCCTTGCGCCCGGCAGCCGGCGTTTGCCCAAAAACCAACGTTTATTATCTATTCCCTTTGACTTACTGGCCGCGCGGTCTAGTTGAAATGAAACTGCCCTTCAATCTCCGCAGGAATCTCTTGTTCTGCTCGAGGCTGGGTCAATCGTGACCCACGCTGAGGCTCTCCGATACGTAAACAATTATACAGGGTGTCCCGTAACTGGTGGCATAAGCGAAAAATTGAATCGAAAATGTTAAATAAAATGTTTTCATATGAAGCTTTTTTTTGGGAAAAAATAAGCTTGGAAAGTTTGATATCTTAGATTTATTTTACTTTCTTCTTATGCTTATCGAACGGGACCTTTAGTTAAATACTGGTAACTTATAGCAATCGAAACAAATTTTTAAAATTACTTTTTTCGAAAATAAAGCTTCGTATGGAAACATTTTATTGCACATTCTCGATTCAATTTTTCACGTAGAATTACCCCATGCTCGCTTGTACTACTATGTAGTTACGGGACACCCTGTGTATTTCACGGTTTATGACACGGCATTAGAGATTAGGAAATCGGTGTTAAAAACATCACCAAAAGGTATTATGCAAAATGAATAACATTATAATAATTGTAGAATATATTCAGCGTACATTATGTACAATTTTACGTATGTTTTCTATGTTATTGTACGTCATGAATGCATAAAATCCGCAGTCTATTTATTATGAACAATAATTACATTTGATAAATATTTAAATTCGTCTTTAGCTACTTCCTTGACTACTACAATTTTAAACAAAAATTTGCAATCACGTATGTTTATTTGTGCATTATCAGTGAAATTTCGAATATCTTCTGGTTTCAGAATCTGTTAGGAATGGAAGGTACCAGTTTGCAATGGCGACTGATAGCTAGTCATCTGATAACTCGATTATCACGGGATCCAATATCGCACAAGCCGGAAATTGGATCTGCGCAGAACACTAGTAGTACTTACATCCTGTCGGAACTGTTCCAGGTTCTGGGGTATTTTGCAGTTAACAACCCGGAAAATCAGGTAAGTGCGATCTTCGGAACGCTTTCAATTTTATTGTATTGCAACATTTATGGTAGTTTGCTGTTTGAATTAGCGTCACCATAATTTCAACAATAAATTTTAATAATATTCATTAATAATATTCACTAGGGGATAGTCTAGTAGACGTTTATGGATGTTGGCCAAATTGTTGCTTAAAATATTTTGTGTAATGGGTATATGTATAACACAAGAGAAACTCATGGATAAGAAAACATAATATATTAAATGAAAAACTTATACACTAAAGGTTACATAGAAATATGAGAGTATAAACATATACACATCCACGAAAGAAGGTGCAGAGGAGACAAAGTGTCTAAACATATATTTATGTATCTCAGACAATCAAGGAAGCCTTGGAAGTTATACAGGACGCGACACTAGCGCCGCCATGCGGCACTCGTTGCCCCCAAAGGCGGCGCTAGTGTCTCTCCTTTTGCAACCATCACTATTTCCACTTCTAACAGTCTCTGACGCGGATTACACATGAAATATACATCGTTACAACGTTGACAGTCGCGAACCATCATCAACAGCCATCATCATCCTAAAAATCAACCGTCCCGACATATACTCGTCCAGGAAGATCCATCCCGGGACCTGACCAGTTTAAGACCGGCTCCCAGCCACCAAACAAACCATCTATCAATCCCCGGAACGAGTCGGTCGATCACACCCGGTACATTCGGGTGAAATGCGTCGCGCGACACGAGGCGAAGAAGGAAGAAGCTGTTAGACACAACACACTCAGCGGACGTCCCATCAATATACGGCCGAATGCAGTTAAGATATATTTACTCGGTTCCATTCCATACGTCAGCCGCGCGCACGCACACGACGCCCTACGAGAGGAGGGTGCATCAATCCGAGCGCGTGGATCGGGATGCGTTGCGTTGAGTGCATCAACGACGGAGCGCATTCGTCTTTCGGCACCTTTTTTAAGGGGCCCCGAAAGTGCACCCCGATACCCGAGGAAATCGGTGGAAAAACGCTTTTAACCTTTAAAAGGGAGATGGAGTTGGAGAAGCTGATCAAAAGTAGGGAAGAAAATTCTGATTCTTTAACATTTATGGGTATTATACAGTACTTGAGAGTTTTCTTTGCTGAAGTCGTTAATTATTTGTTTTAAAGTGAGATTATAAAAAGCTGGAAAAGCTGACCAAGAAAAGAGAAATGAAATTCTGATTCTTTAACACTTTTGGGTGTAATAGAGTACTTAATAATTTACTATTAATCGTCTTTTTGCTATCATAGGTAATACATTCTTACCTATTACTGACATAGCATCATTAAATTATGAAATATTATATAAATATTAATCTCAAAATGATTCTAACCCTGGAAAAACCCTGGAGGTTATAAGGGATGAGACACTAGCGCCATTTTATGAAATACTGGTGTTTGCGAAAGGAGAGACACTAGCGCCGCTTTTGGTGGCAACGACTGCTGCATGGCGGCGTTAGTGTCGCGTCCTGTATAACTTCCAGGGCTTTCTTGATTAATTGAGATTAGGGATGGCGTGAAAAATCACTAACAGTGATTTAGTGTGGCAAAACTATTACTTAATTTAGTCAAATTTCTTCAAAAGACATAGAGGTTACGAATATTTATGGGATTGACCAATAATAGATAATATTCCTCGAAAGTCTAATTAACATTCTAGATCCGACTCCTTACCGAAAACCTAGCATAACAGTTCCTGAACTGTTTTCCTGAACAGTGATTTTTCACGGTGATCACACAGTCACGATCGCGGTCGTGATTAAACTATGATCATGACCGTGATCCGGAAGATGGCGTTTCAGAAGCGGTTCATGTTGATTGTTATCGTTAGTGTGTCGTTGTCTCCCCTTAGCAGAAATTCAACAAACTACAAATGAGTCAAATTTAAATTGTATTAAAATTATATTAACATTGCTTTTAGACCATATTATAATACATACATAATCTAAGAACAGCGTAATTCGTGAAAAGCGAAAAGAATGTTCTCTACCAATTTAGAAGCGATCACGAAGAATCACGAATCACTGTGAAAAATCGTCGTGATTGAGAATGAACGTGATTGAATCACGAGTGATTTAAAAGTAGCAGTTTACGCCATCTCTAGCTGAGATACATAAATTTTGTTTAGTACTTTGTCTTCTCTGCACCTTCTTTTATGGATGTGTATATGTGCAGAAGAGGAAAAGTATTTAAATAATGTTTAGGGACTGTGAAAATTCAGGGAGAAAAACCCTAGAGGTTATAAAGGATGAGACACTAGCGCCATTTTGTGAAATAGTGGTGGTTGCGAAATAAGAGACACCAGCGCCGCCATTGGTGGCAGCGAGTGCCGCATGGCGGCGCTAGCGTCGCGTCCTGTATAACTTGCAAGGCTTTCTCGATTGTCTGAGATACATAAATATTGTTTAGACATTATTCTAAATTATTAGTGTGCCTAGAATTTTGTTTGCAATGAATTCCTTCATGTTCTACTTTCTCTCCTCCGTCACTGCTTAGCCAAGAATAATCGATGCTCTTCAAGAACAGATTAAATGTCGAGTGAAGCAGTACACGTGGCCAGTGTTTGCTCTCGAAAAAACCTCATCTATATGCAAAGTTCGAAATCGATGATAGGGGTTCGGCGAGTACAATTAAAGAACAACAGCTTTTGTTTTAAAAACGTGAAGGCCCAATGAAGTTTACCATCTTGGTGTAAATATTTATATATAAAGATAATCCACTACAAAAAGTTATTTTTATCTGAATTTAAATTGAAGATTTCAAACTATGTAACAAAAAAGAAAAACTAATGTAGACTCCTGCTTCCTACATATTTATTGGCCACGCAACTCTCTAATAGAAAACAATAAATTGAAAGTGAGTTGCTATTTATTTCAGTGAGCAGGAACACTACGCTAGGGCGACGTTAAACTTCGCCATCGTTTGAATAATTATAGACAAACAAAACCATACCAAATGGTCTCGAAAGTTACATACGAGTGTTTGTCGTATGTCCGTAAGCTTGGCAATGAAGCGACTGGAGCCACTGAAATAGGCAGGAATAAATTGCAACGCCTGCGAGGATGCTCGCGGGGAATCCAGTTTGAAAACGATCAACACTGACTCGAGTAACTTTGAGAAACGTTCTGTGTATTCAATCGAAACCACGAACATTGAAACACGATTTCAAACATTCCTGGGATTAAGAAAGGTCGGGAATAAACAAATACTTCTTGGGTACCCAGTGTAAATTCATGTCATAAACATATAAACGTTTATAAACAGATATAAACATAAAAACATTTAAAAACAGACATAAACGGATATAAACATGTAAACGTTTATAAACAGATATAAACTTTTAAACGTTTATAAATAGATATAAACTTATAAACGTTTATAAACAGATATAAACATATAAACGTTTATAAACGGATATAAACATATAAACGTTTATAAACAGATATAAGCGGATATAAACATATAAACGTTTATAAACAGATATAAACGGATATAAACATATAATCGTTTATAAACAGATAAAAACGTATATACACATATAAACATGTAAACGTTTATAAACATATAAACAGATATAAACGTATATACACATATAAACATGTAAACGTTTATAAACATATAAACGTTTATAAACAGATATAAATGGATATAAACATATAAACGTTTATAAACAGATATAAACATATAAACGTTTATAAACAGATATAAACATATAAACACATAAACACATCTAAACACATAAACACATCTAAACACATAAACACATATAAACGTATAAACACATAAAGATATTGAATTCCAGGAAATAAAAATTAGTCTCCCATTTGTTATTTATTCATCAGTCGGATAAGAGTCGTGCCTGCCCAATTCCTGTCGGTCGGAGAGACATTTTTCTTCGACGTTCACCGAGATAGTAACGAGTTAGGCTTACACGTGAAAATGTCCGACGGTCTGGCGCCTTCCAGAACGTCGCGACGTCTTTTCTTTCTGCGCGACTATCGAGTCCCATTTTTTCGAGATATCGGGGGTCCTCGGAAATTCCACGAGGCCTGAAGGCATTCGATCTATGCCGGAGGATTTCGAGAGAGAACGGTCAGTTTAGATTAGACGCGACGCAGGGCGACCCTTGAGCGCGTTTCATGGCGGAGCAGCTTGCGCATACCTCGAGCCTAATTGTGCTGCTTATGGGTTCCTTCATTTCTGGTTCCCTTATCGTGGCGAGATGGCTCCGCTAGGTCTCGATTAGTAAGATGTAACAATTTGTCCTTGCCTTCATACCGAGCATTCTATTTATACTTGGTAATCTGGTAAGTACTTTCATTTGTCGATGTTAACTTTTGTTGGAAGAAATTGAAACTTGTGTTTAATTCAATCAGAAACGTGTTATCGATCCTGGTTCTACAACCTCTCTCCATTTTTCATTGTCTTAATTCCAGCTTTTCCAAAATTGGTCCAGTTTTGAATTAAAAGACATGTCTAGTACTGCTATTACATGTTCAATATTGTTCAATTTTTTTGCAAGTTAAAAAATATTTTAGTGATAAAAATAGGTGGCAATGAATCAGTGCAAGGTCCACAATGTCTAATGGATGTGATAAAACAATTGTATAATAATTGTAGTTTATTCTATTGATAATTATAATATACTAACTGTGCCCCAATTCAAAATAATGTCCTACAGAAACAAATTCAAAATAAAACTTCATCTATTTATTTTATTAATAAATTTTAGGGGAAGAAATAATTACCAGAATTCCTGCATATTTTTAGACTAAAATTTGCGTAAATTAAAGTTTTAAATTAACTTTTAATGTTAACCTCTCATTTCTTTTCTTATTAATTTTATTACTTTTATGTCCTTACTTTTGAAACCAATTCAAAATAAAACTTCATCTATTTATTTTATTAATAAATTTTAAGGGAAGAAATAATTAACTAGAATTCTTACATATTTTTAGAGTAGAATTTGCCTAAATTAAAGTTTTAAATTAACTTTTAATGTTAACCTCTCATTTCTTTTCTTATTAATTTTATTTTAAATTGGTTGCTGTACGAATACTTATTACACTGATTGTATTTTATGTCGTTCGCATTCGACCGAGTGTTCTTACGGAGTTTTTACGGATAAAGCTAGTGCTTTCTGGTTGCGGATTTCACGAATACCTTGAAACTTACCACTTCACGAAACAAATTTTTTCGGCGTGGCGTTCTGTATACGTTAGTTAAGTGGTTAATCAACTCTGGGAGCGTTTTAAATACGATAAAAATACATAGGACCCGTGATCGTCGTAAATCTAGCGGGCGGTTTTATGCGACGTAAAAACGGTCTTAAAATAACACAGAAAATGATACTCTATGGAAGAAGGTTCACCATAAAGTACCATATAATTTATTTAGGCGACGAGCCTTTCGCTTAACATAAAACGAATTTAAAGGCTCGGGAATTATTTATATGATCGCTTCTTCATTTTACGCTCCTTTGTGTTTGCTGCGTGTTCGCGTTACGTTTATTGACTTATTCGTTGTATTTTACTGTTAGGATGATTTATTATTATTTAGGATGGTGGTATTATTCAGTTTTTATTAATAAACAGAATAATGCATGTCCTCAATGCTCCTTTATTGTGAACAATAATTACATTTGATAAATATTTTAATTCATCTTTAGCTACTTCCTTGACTACTACGATTTTAAATAAAAATTTGCAAATAATTGGTAAACATCGCTTTTTTTATTTATGTGGTTGAATAAAAATTAGGATTAATTGAATTGAATAAATTAAATCAACAACCCTGTTCGTTATATATTTTAATTCATCTTTAGCTACTTCCTTGACTACTAAAATTTTTAATTGACTACTAGAATTTTAAACCAAAATTTGCAAATAATTGGTAAACATCGCTTTTTTTATTTTTGTGGTTGAATAAAAATTAGGATTAATTGAATTCAGTACATTAAATCAACTACCCTGTTCAATAAATATTTTAATTCATCTTTAGTTAGAATTAAAAATTTTTTTCTCTAACTCCTAGAAATTTAAACGAAAATTTGCAAATAATTAGTAAATATCTTTTTTTTCATTCGTGGTCAAATAAAAATTAGAGTTAATTAAATTAAATAAATAAAATAATTCGAGTGTCTTCAGCCACGATCTCCAAACGTATAAAAATTGAACTCATCGTACTTAGCTCATAATTTGCCACCCGAAGTAAAAATTCCATTCGATTGTCTCCCTTCCTTTCAACGCTATTGATTCGGTATTACTCCCATCGCTGGTAAAAGGAGAATAGAAAGAGAGAAAATAGAAGAAAAATGCATAATGTGGGTACTTCCTGCGAGAGGGATTGCTACAGGTGCCTGCTTGAGGACACTTGTTGAACCGCAGATGTCCTAGAACGCTTCCTTGTCCTTCGAACCCGCTGGTTCTCGACACCTGTGCATAAACGCGCTGTTTCCCACGATATTTAAGGAAACTAATGACTCTGCACATACGCGTCTCTTGTAATTAACGGTCTTCGTTCCCGGACGACCGTACTTAACTTTCCTTCATGTGGGTGTTTTGCAATGGAAAGCAAATCTTACGACAGTCTTCGAGAATATCGTCCAAAGGGAGAATGTACAGAAAATATTTATACTTGCAACTGATTATTGCTCGTTTATTAATTGCAGTTGAAAAAGTTTAGTTATTTATCATAACACGACGACTGCCAGACAAATATTCTTGAAAGTTTCTGCTAGAGTTGAATATTATTTAAACTACAAATTTTTGTTCAAAATTTTATATTTGCAAATTTTTGTTTAAAATTGTAGTAGTCAAGGAACTTAAACAGATGAATTAAAATATTTATTGGACATGGTTGTTGATTTAATTTATTCAATTCAATTAATCCTAATTTTTATTTGGCCATGAATGAAATGTTTATTTATTTTTGTAACTTCGTCAGAATGCAAAATTCCATTCCAATTCGTTTTCTTTGGTACTTACTGTCAGAATTAATTTCTTTAGTTCGTCAGTGGAAGCCACACGTGTTAAAGCTAAATACCCCTGATGACACAGTTAAAAAGTATAAAAAATAGAACAGAAAATATTTATACTTTAAATTGATTATTGCTCATTTATTAATTCCATTTGAAAAAGTTCAGTTATTCATCTTAAGGTGAAAGGTCACTGATAACACAGCCTAAAATTATATAAACTTTTGTTATTATCGTGCACGAAATGAATTTTGTTTCAGTTAATACTGCAGTCGGCTGGGGTTGGTCCAAGCGTTCTACAGCAACTGTGTACTTTGCCGTTTCCGTTTTACGGTGCTCCAGGACTGACGTCGTACATTTTCCCAACACTATTGGCGGCCACGCATCGAAACGGAGAGGCGACGGCCATTTTGTCTTGCGAAATGTCTTATCAGGTAAGTGTACCAGTTTCGAACTTAACCTAAAACTAGCTATTTCGGATAGTGTTGGATTATTTATTAGCAGTGAATAAGGAACTCATGCAGGGAAAGGGTATAACCGTGCCCATGTGCCAAATTGATAAATGAACATATCAATTAATAGAGCGTTAAAAAAATACAATTTGTCCCAAGTATCAACCCCGTACCCTTACTGGAAGGGTAGTTACAGGGTAAAATGCGATTTACAGTTTAAGCTGTATATCTTTTGATGCACTGTATCAAAGATTTTGAAAAAAGTTAGGGATATTCTACTTCATGGCGTACGTGTTTGTGAATTTTTTCAGAATATTTCACTACAAAATTGATTTTTAAAAAATTCAAGAAGTTTAAAAGTAATTTTGCTGGATAGAAATTATGAAATGACCACGTTTATATATTTACACTGTATATAATGTCCTTATGTCCTTATGTCCTTATGTCCGAATGTCCTTATTCTTCCACATGAAGAAAGATCAGTTTTCCTCGGAAACTACGCTTTTAGGATTTTTTAAATACTTTTACATACTAATTTTAGTCAAAGTTAACCCTTTGGACTCGTGAGGTGACTTTCAGTCACCACTAGGTTTTCTTTAGGTTTAATTTCTTTGGAACTCGAAATGTCAAAAAAATGATTGTCGTTGAGGCCAAGGGGACCTGATTCTCAAGTCTCAAATTAAGGATCTCATTTAAGAAGTTAATCTAAGCTTAACATTCGTGACAATAGAATGCTAAAAAAGCATTTCGAGTTGCTGATAGGTACCCAGAAGAAAGACCTCGAGTGCAAAGGGTTAACCTTAGAAATTAAATAATATTAGTGCGAGAAAAATAAATAATTCAGGTCTGAAAGCGTTAATCAAGATAATGAGGTATATAAGGTCTTTGCTGAACCTCACAGCGAGTTAGAACTATTCCATCATTAAGTTACTATTTCTAAAGACTGTCACTATTTAACTCTACCTGCTGAGCTCAGTCTTCATCATCTCTATCCATTCCAACTGGCCTCTGCTGGTCCAAAAGTCATTCTTCCTCTTATATTTAATGCAAAAACAATGTTTGTCTTGCAGTTGCTTGATGAATTATTCTTAAGTTTTAGGTTAAGTTTGGTCCTAGTATATTGGACCTCACTGTTGCATTTTTTTGCTAGAAACCACTATTCCTACAATTATTCCATCCTCAAGTTACCATCTCTAAAGAGTATCACTATTTAATTCTGCCTGCTGAACTCAGTCTTCATCAACTTCATCCTATAAAACTGACCTCTTCCGCTCCAAAAGTCATTCTTCCTCTCTCATTTAATGCAAAACCGTTCTCTCTTTCAGTTGCTGGAAGAGTACAGAGATTCAGACGACGGCAAGCTGAATCCTTTGGTTCGTCTACTGAAGGACCCGAGTCCTTAGGCGTTCCAGCCAGAGTTGGGTTAGTCTGCTTGAGTTTCGTCAAATTTCTTCGTTACACGCCACGAATGTCACGTGGACGTTAAAACGCTGGACCATTAACTCGTATTCCGTTCGGAAACGTCGGACAGGAGAAAATTGTTGTTAGGTACGTCCATCGTTAGTTGAAAAGCTGTTGCATTTGCGCGCCTCGAGGCTGGGACTCGAAGGCGACTATCTTTACCAAATGCACACTCGCGAACAGTGTCGAGACGTTAAGAGTGATTAGCGACGTATACTTGGAGGCAAAATTTCTACCCAGTCGAATCTCTACCAATCAATCGAAATGACAATCAATCGAAGGGTTTTTGCAGAAAGTGACACAGACAGAGAGGGGCTGCTCGAGTTCTGTTGGACTTGAAAGTGCTGCTGACAATCAATTACGTGGTCAGAAAATAATTCCTGATATCATTGTGGTATCGATAGCACTCCCGAAGGTATTACTTCACTCACTAATAAAATATTTTCCTCGTTAATCGAACTGTCTTCACACTCTGACTTATTCTTTGTATTTCGATTTTCGAAATTCTGAAAAGAATTCTGAAAAGAAAGACTCTGAAAAGAATTCTGATCCTATCATTTCTGAGCCCAATGTTCCAAATTAAACTGCATCAATCGATATCAAAATGATAACATAGATAATTTTCTCAAGTTAGCAGTACTTCCAGAACAATAACGTGTTCCGAACTTCGATCTCGTGATACGTGGTATTTGAATAGCAATAGGGACCTTGAAAAGTATTTTTTTACTCGTGTAGAAAACACGACGATACTGTGATAATTTGCTACGCTCGAATTCGAGATGGATGGGCGGGGCGAATTATTTCGTAGAGCTTTGTTTTTCTGGAAAACGAAGTCTTTTCCAGTCGTCTAAGGATGACTTTTCTTAACGTTAGCTTTTGTAGGTATATAATCGTTGTGATTTCTCGACGAATTGTTAAATTGGTCGATTAATTGAACGGTGTATAGTTTGACACATTAGAAACGGTCCCTGGTAGGCGTGGCCTGTGGGTGGTGGGAGTGAAACTGGGCGTGGACGGTGCGCGGTGAGAGGTGATCCTAGGCGTGACCTGTGCGTGGTAGGGGTGAAACTGGGCGTGGTATGGTGAACCGTCACGCTTTTTTTGCTTCTATTTGGGAGATCCGAACTTGAAATTGAAGTTCTTCCACCGTGGTCTTTCTGAGGGGTCTTATCTGAGTTGTCGAGCTGTAACTTTTAACGTAGTCTCATTGTCTTATAAGTTGGGAAAATGGTTTCCTCTTTATAAGCTTGATTTCACGTTACCTTATATCTAGTAGAACAACATAAAATTTTTATTTATCTTTGTTAAATTTGTAATTGTTCTCATCTTTCGGATATTCGTTTAGAGAAATTGGATGATACAACTAGTCAGTCCTACTGTTTTCTTTTTACATTTAATGAATTTAATTTTCTCTTGGAACTTTACATAATTTTGTAAAGATGACGTTGATTCTTTTTTGTTAATTATTATATTGTGTTAGCCTTATATATTCAGTTTAATAGTTTAATTCTTTATTTTTTGTTTTATTAGAAGTAGTCTCGTACTTAGATAATTCGAAATGGAGAAAAGGGAAAATGCATTTTGAAATCATTTGAAAAATGTGAAAAAAAAAGTAAAGTAGTTATCATTAGGCATTATTCATAAATAGCGTTAGAGTTTAATCGATAATGAATTATATTTTCGTTAAATGGAATGTGACGAAGAATTTTTATTTTTTATCTTAATGAATTTCACTCTTACTTGGAAGATCTGATTTGAAAACGAGGAGCGTTTCGCTTGAACAGTCAACTGAATTGCGACTGAAGGATCGATTTGTTTCTGTACAAAAACTCTTCGGTTTTCTTTCAATCTCGTGATGGACGCACGTAAGAAAACAATTTTCGTGCGAGTTTCAGAGATCGCCGTTGAAATTGCCAGTTATTTGCTGAGCGTAATCGAAATTTAGCACCATTACCAACTGTCTCTTACGAGGTAACGAATCTCTTTATTTTCCGTTGCAAGAAATAGCTTTAACGGGTTCGCGATTTACGATTTACGATTGTAATTGTTTATTGTTTGGAGCTGGAGAGATTACCACGAAATAAAGGCTTTTTACCTGTGGTTCTCTCGCACCTGCTCAGGTTATGAATTTACCTGAGATTTACAAGATGTTCCTTTATAAAAAAACGAAACAAAATTATTTAAAATTAATTATTACTGTCATTCAAAATTAATGCGGATCTTTATGGCAACATAAATTGTTTGCAAATGTACCTAAAGAAATTAAACCTAAATAGGAATTTATTTTATTCTGCAAATATTATAACGTGAACTTTACTTTCAATGTTTTGTTTATATTCATGGCATATTGTTTGCATTTTGTGGTTTCTTAAACATTCACATTTCCTATAAATGCATAAAGATACCAGTTTATTTATATTACCGAGCGTCTCCCGTAAAAAAGAGTATAAATTCAACCAACAGATGGCACTTCCCATAGACCTTGCTCCACCCATAAGGCGTGGCTAATACCTCGACCAATAGGGCTCTGCATTCCTTCCGCGACAGATCTCTCCAGCTACCAACAGTACATTCGAACGTTTCTTAGTGCACTCATTTCTCTTGTTTTCACGCGTGCCAACAATTCGTGCAAAAACGTGTCTTTTGAACGGGCCTTTTACACATCGTTAGAATTAGAACGATGCTAATCCATGTGTGTGTATGTGTGCGTGTGTGTGTGCGTATGCGTGGAACCATGCGAACCGTACCAAGACGGTATTCAAATTTTTTTTTATCATGTAACGTGTTTTACATAATAGAAATAATTACAAGCTTTGTATTACGTAAAGTGTGCTAAGTTGGAAATGAAGTGATGAAGTGGTCTGAAAAAGGGAAAAAAGGAGCAGATTTGATGAATTTAAATAAATGAAACACGAACGGTAGTCGAGATCGTAAGTATTTAAATAACGAATCGATGGTTTAGTTTACAAAGTTATTCTTTTTTTATTGGTGTCGCATTTTACAGCGCAAGTACGCAGAAATATGGGTGCCTGGGAAGCGCACATCCTATTTCCTCCCTCGTGTTACGTTTCGAACGACCGTTTAGGGTGTTTCGGGAAGATTCCGGTAGTTGAATTTTGACTTGTAAGAGTTTTTACTGAAACGTGTTTAGATGAATTCGGTACTCAAAGTCAGATGTAAACTTTGATTTCATTGGAATATGTGTTCTGAAATGTGAATTTATAGGGTACGTAGAATTTTGTTCTCTGTTATTATTTTTATTTAACAGCATACAGTAATGTCTCAATAAATGCACAAGCTCGGGACTGACCTTGTGCGATTAACGTGGACATCGTATATTCTTTGATGTTTACCGCCGAATGTCGAACCGTAGACAAAGGGAGGGAGTAAAGAAGAGGACGAGAGGAACGAGAACATTGAGGCATGTCGGTGACACAATTGAATGCAACGATGAAACTTTCTTATTATTAACTTTTTTGTTGTAAAACTTTTACCATCATATTTCTGGGATTTTTCTGATTAAAATGAGTCCAAACACGACGTAATTCGCAACATATTTACTTGTAACAACTTATTATGTAGCATATATCGTAGAACAATTACTAAAAAACATAAATGGTAAATATTGTCCGAATTATATCGTTTTTGGTTTCATTTTAATCAGAATGAAATCAAATACGGTGTAATTCGTAACATATTTACTTGTAACAGCATTGTTTAACATTATGTACCATTATGTATCCTTTATCGTAGAACAATAACTAAAAAAAGGTGAATGGTAAATATCGTTCGAATTATATCGTGTTTGGTCTCATTTTAATCAGAAAAATGTCAGGAATATGATAATAAAAGTTTCACAACAAAAAAGTTTCATCGTTGCATTACATTGTGTCACCGACATATCTCGGTGTTTTTCGCTCCGTCCTCTTCTTTACTCGCTGCCCTTGTCTACGTTCGACACTCATGCAGCAAACATCAAAGAATATACAAAGTCTGCCATAAATGCACTAGTTTAATCCCAAAATATATCTCAAGAGGTATATCTCAAGAGGTTGATCTCCCATTGGGGGAGCTGGTTTCTGTGCACTTATCGTGGACAAATCTGTGCGTCTAACGAGACATTACTGTATACAGGGTGTCCCAAAAATGGTGGAGGTCTTTAAAAGGGATAATTCAAGGGGTGATTTGAAACAACTTTTTCCTTAATGAAAATGTTGTTTCAAATCAGCCCCCGAACCACCCCTTTCAAGGACCTCCAACATTCTTGAGACACTCTGTGTATATTCTTTGTTTTCTCAACGAGATCGCGTATGAATATTTTATAGAGATGATTTAAATAAAGATTTATTTTCTAAGAAACTTCAAGTATATTAATTCGAACGTTTGCACGTTACATATATAGAAACGAAATAATATTCAAGTAAATATTTATTCTCGGACGATATATGAGTTCATTGTGGTACAGTGTACGATTATTTATTGATAGGAGAAAAACGAATGTGAGTGTATTTATGAGGTACAGGTTTCAGTGGCTGCAGCGAGCGCACTCGTGCAATGTCCTGCCAATGCAATTAATATTCAAGTATTATACACGTATACATATATATATATATATATATATTTAGGAAATATTTAACGGCGTATCAAAGAAAGTCGATCAAGAATCGCGTAGGTTTACGGTAAAGTAATCATGCTGTAAAACTCTTGTCGCTCCCCCACAGCTGAATCGAAGAAACTTGGCTGAGGGCTGTCATTTTTTATTTATTCATTGTTAATTTACCTTGTCGCGTTGAATCAGTCGACGGAAGATTTTATTTACATCTTGTATATTCTATTATTTTAATTAGTATCGATTATTTGTTTTTTCTTTATTTATAAAAGGAAGTAATTTAATTTTCATTAACGTCGACTCGAGAAGAGAGCCTGATTTGTGGAACGACAACATTTTTACACCAGTTCGCCGTAGGAACAATAAATAATTACGCAATAAATTGTAAAGCTTGAGAATTTAGAGGTAGAACGACTCTTCAGCCGTCGATTCGCTCGAATAAAGATATTATTTGCGATTGAACAAAGTGATTGAACATAGAACTTTGATTGGTCGACAATCAGCCGATTAAAAAAATAAATGGTAAAATAACAAACTATTTTCAATCGCATATACTGTATTTACTCGCTTTGTATCGCAAGCTAGTTGCCGCTCGTCACGTAAAAAATAAAACATATTTTATCATCGCTAAATATTAACGATTAAGGTGAAATTATTCTGATCGAAGCGATTACGATCCATTTATTTTTTAGGCAACGTGGCTCAATTGTTCAGCACGACGCTCTCAAGCGTTTCGCTATCTGCGATTCGATGCGAGTATAAAAGTTTTATAATAAAACACAAGCATGCGACTGCGCATTCACCTTGCGCAAAAGCGACGCGTTCACATTGCGCACGCGTGCTCGAAAGTTTCGATCGAACGTTTTGTGATTACTTTTCCACGATTGTACTTTCGCCTTGTTCGCACTAAGACTATCGATCGGTCCATCGACGATGGATCCAGTGAACGATGATCATGCATACGCTTTGTACGTTTCGCTAGAAGTAGTAACGCATCGAAGTTGCAATCAATAAATTTCGATGAGACGATTTTTTGTAATTTATAATTGCGTTATCCCTTCCTCGTCATTCTTCTCGAATACTTATTTTCCTTCTTCCTTTTCCAACAATAATAAAAATTGTAAGCAAATTTATTTGAGTGAAGGTATAAGTTAATCACGAGTTAGAATATAATTTAGAAATTAATTTCAGAGTTTGACAGAGAAGAAAAGATTTGCAAACAAAATTGAGTATATTTCGTTATTTTTTTTTATAAAGAAAAACTGCTTTTATTTTTGTTCAACTTTGGGAATATTTTAAGTATGTTTTAAAGTACGGTAGGTAATTTTTTAAATTCATTTTACTTAGATATCTTTGAGATTATCAACTGTATTATGAGATTATGAACGTATTTAATGGCTTTTTAATTGCAGTGATTACATTGTGGAGTTATTAACTGTGTCGTTGATTATCTATTTAAAAAGCTCAAATTTTGGAAACAGAAAGACTTATAATATGATTGCGAAAAAATGAAAACAAAATTATTTTCTGTTAAAAAAAAATTCGGAACAAAATTCGGATCATGATGGGACTTGCGTCATAAAATGCAGAAAAAATAAAAGTATTTTATAGGGAAGAAAAGAAAAAAAATTAAAAGTGTAGAAATTTGAAAAATTTGAAGTTTTTTCCGAAAAATTAAAAAATTTTATATAGAAAACGAATTCGAATATTTTGATTTAAATTTTTGTCCTAAAATTGATTCAAAAGCACACATTTTGAAAAAGAAATTTTGGTTTTTGGCAGAGTTCTAGCTATTTGAAAAAAAAAACGTTTTTTGATGGGAGAGATTCATAACTTTTTTGTTGGTTCAGTACAAAAATCTGCAAAAATTCCAAATAAGATTTTTAGTAGGGTACTGTAATATAACAAAATTTCAGCTAAATAAAAAATGGTCGGTTCCAAAAGTGTTCAAAATGGCTAGAGTGTCCCATATATTAATACAAGTTATTAATAGTAATATATAGTAATGTAAAGGTTGAATTTTATAGTGCAGTATCTTTCTAAACAGATCAGTGGTTACAATGTTAAGTGTAACATATGTAACATGAAATAGAAATAAATTTCACTCTGTCAGAAAGGATCTTTCTGCAAAAAAAAGGAAACAAATAAAATACAGTTTAATCTTGGATCCTGCTTCCTTGTTGGCAAATTCTTAGAACGTTATTAAACAAGCCTAAGTTTGCAAAAGGACTGTCTCGAGCATCGAACAGAAACTGCTCCGATATTGCACCCGTAAGTGCAATATCAACCTATAGGGACTACAATAAGCAGTCGATATGCATTTCACGATGCACGCAGTGTCATTAAAATGCACCCGGTTTTCCGCGGTGACATATCATTCGGTTTCGATCGAGCTGTCAAACCGTAGTGCCATGCTGTCAGTCGAGGAGCACGCCAGACAGCTAGGAAAGTCCGTGGAAGTCGTCTTGTTTTGCCATTAAGCGGGATGAAACCGAGCTCGACGACCCGATAAGAGAGAGCTTGACGCGGCTAGCGACTAAAAGCGATCGTAGGCGTCTCTCTAGAGCCGCTGTGTCTATTTAAAATGCAAATCTCGTCCATGGGCTGCTCTCGTAATCGCTGGGTTTATTGGAAACGTACAACTCCGCGATATAGAACGTGACTTCACGTTTACAATGTTTCTCTTGGTACAGAACGTTCGACGCCAATGAAGCTTTGGGTCGAATACTGGAAGCGAGTCAGACTCTAATTGCGCCTCAGGTGAAGTTTAAAGTTTCAGGATTTAGGTATTTATCTGCTTTCGTGGAACTTTGGGCAATGGTGACAATTAGGAAAGTGTGAGATACTTGAGTCATATTTTATAGAGGAGAAAAGGAAGAGGTTAGGTGAACCAGTGTCTTCAAAGTAGCAAATGTATAAGTCAAGTATTTTTTGAATTTTAACCTAGAGGAATTTAATGTCAAATGTATTTTATTTACTGTGACTGGAAACACCCAACTCTGTATTATTATTATCTTCAGTATGTACTTGTTCTGGTAGAAGTTTTGACAACAGCGACAGTATGGCACACTTGAGACTCTTGACTCATATCTTATAGTGAAGAAAAGGAAGAGGTTAGGGGAAGCAGTTTGTCTTCAAGATAGCAAATGTATGAGTCAAGTATTCTTTGAATTTTAACCTAGAGGAATTTAATCCTAAATGTCTGGTCTACT